CAGGTCCCAGCTGGCGCCTCGCAACGGGCTCTCCCCCCACAGTCCGGTCCTCCGGCTCACGGGAGGTCCCTGCTGTGCCCTTTCCTTGCTGTCGCCGGGGTGGGGAGCACAGGCTGTGGTCGCCCGTGTAGCGCCGAGTGGGGAGCGGGCGGTCCCCGGAAACCCTGGGGGCTCCCCGTCGAAGTCTCCGGGAGACGCTGCTGCGCAAGAACAGCCTGCCCTCCCCTCCCTAGGTGACTGCGGCCCTCTCCCGGTGGTGCCTCTGGCCCAGCCAGTTTCGGGAGGAAGCGTGAGTTTCCCGGTGAACACCACGGTGTTGTACAAATGTGATCAAGGCTTCGTCAAAATCCCCGGCATGCCAGACGCAGTGGTCTGCCTTTCCAGCAATAAGTGGACGGACATAAAAGAGTTCTGTAATCGTAAGTGCTTGCTTGCTTTTTAGAAAAGTTGTGGGACTGGGATGTGCCTTGTTAGGGTTATTTTTAGCCCTCTTTGGAGTGACTGGTAATTGATAGTTTTCTAGCATCATTAAGCCCCAGGGTTTACCCTGTTGGCAGTCCGCTCCCTCCCGGCTAATTGAAGGCACTTCCCAAGGCAGGGCCTCCTTCATTAGTTTTTCCTCCTAGCCGAACCTGCTGAACAGACTAGCAGAGGAAACATTGGTACTGCCCAGGGAGGAGGTTATGTAGGAGCGTATCTGCCTTTAACCTAAGACACATGGCTAGGTCATCTGTTTTCTTACATTTCATCTGGTAAAGAAGAACTCAGCAAACATGACGCTTTGATGGCATTTTGAAAAGTTCTCTATCTTTTCTTCAAATTTTATTGTATAGAGAGGCCCTTATTTGAGATAGGGCCATGCATCGCTTTGTGATGGGGTATGTTCTGAGTGCGGTTTGGGGGCATTTTGTAGTTACCTGAAGGCAGAGTGAGCTTACACCTGTGCTGTGGGGCGGGGCCTGCTGCTCTCTGCCAAACACCGTAAGCGGTGGGCACACTGTGGTACTTGTGTGTCTAATCATAGAAAGTGTGCAGTAAAAAATGTGGGGTAAAAGGCAAAAAATAACACACGAGTACGGGGCTCTTACCACACATGGAAGCTACGAAGTTGCTGTCCTGTCAGTGAGCGAGTAGGAAATGGGTGTGAAGGCCCAGCGTGTCACTGGGCACTGCTGTGGACTTTTTGAATGCTGCCCACTGAGGCTACACTAAATTTATTAAACGTTTTATCTTTCTCCCATAATAAGTTAACTCTAACTTACTGTAACTCTATAAGATTTAATTTTTTAACTATGTTCTTTTATTAGTTTATGCTGTGGAGGGTTTGTTTTTGGAACCAAAGCTCACTAGGTTGCCGGGCTGGCCTTGAATTCCTGAATTGAAGCAATCCTCCTGCCTCAGCTCCTAGGTTGCTGGGATTGCAGGCCCCGATTTAGTTTCTTCTTTTTTTAACTTTCCTACTCTTTCATAATAACACTTAGCCTAAGCACATTGAATACTGTACAAAAATACTGTTTTTCTTTCCATCCCAGCACTGTGTGCTTTTTTCTCTACTGAAATTAAATTTGAATTTCTTTTACTGTTTAAACTTTTTGTTAAAAAAATGAGACACAAATAATCACATTGGCCTAGGGCCTAAACCCATCTGGAGTGGAGGTGTTCAGCATTGCTGGTTTTCGCTGGTACACCTCACACTGTCAGTTGTGGAGCTCCCGACTTCCATGATTACAAAGCCTCCTTCTGGAGCACCTCCTGAAGAGCTGCCTGCGGTGGTTGCACTGTTAACTGGTTTTTGAATAAGTAAAAGAAGTGCGCCCTAAAACAGCAAGAAGTATAGATAGAAAATGAACCGACCGGTAACATAGTTGCATAATATCATTATCAAGTATTAGGCGCCACACCCAGTTGTGCGCTGTATTTTCTTACACTGGCCACGTGGTATATTCATTTCCCCAGCAGCCCCAAGCACATGAGCAGCCGTTACACTATGGTGTCACCGGGGCTTAGTGTCCCCAGGCAGTGCGAGTTCCTCAGTGCTGTCTCAGCCTGCTGGGACCACCATGGGGTATGTGCTGGTCACTGATGGAAACGTCCTTATGTGCCGCGTGCCTGTGTGTAAGGAAAGAGAAAGCTAAGGCGGTGCCTACCTTTGAACAGTTGGAGTCATCACATAGACCATAGGGATGCTGCCCATAACCTTTTGAAACCTGTGTGTGAAATGGTTTTCACACTTTTCACTTTCCTTTTTGCTGTTGTTCATTTTTAGGCAGCTGTGGAGCTCCACCCAGGTTGCTTTATGGGATCCTCAAAAAGATTTACATCAGTAAGAATTACTTCCCGGAAGGTACCGTCCTAGAGTACGAGTGCCGGCCAGGCTTTAGGAGAATATACCCTCTAGTGGGGAAGACAACCTGTCTCAGTAATCTGACGTGGTCCACACCCGATGTCTTTTGTGAAAGTGAGTACAGTTTTTGAGAGTATCTGGTATTGATCTACCCCTTTGATCATGACGGAACCCTATATGTACCTATTATTATTAATTTATGTATGATTTTTTTATGTTACTGGGGAATCAAACTTAGGGCTTTGTGTACACTGCACAGGTGCTACTGATCTGTATCACCAGCCCCTAGGTGATTCTTAAAAGAATGATGAGTCATTTTAGTTTAAATTAGGCACACTAAGTATTTATGTGATAAGACTTATTCACAAATTTCACATTTATTTAGTTTGAGCTTACCTAAAGTGGCTGTTTTAAGTCTGGGCTTTTTTGAAACACCACAAAACAAAGACAGAGTTAAAGGAGTCTAGTTTAGAAATGTCACTGGGGGTTTAGCTCAGTGGCACTGCACCTGCCTCTCAAGCGCAAGGTCCTGAGTTCGATTCCCAGTACCGAAAAAGAAAAAAAAGAAATATCAATGGTTCAGATGATGAACTTGCATTGATGTACGTGGTAATTTTTGAAAAAAGAGTTTCTCAGGTGTATTGAGGTGTAATTAAGTAAAATTGTATTGGGCTGGAGGTGACAGCTCAATGGCAGACTGCTTGCCTCATGCACACGAAGGTCTGAGTTCAGTCCCCAACACCCCACATGCATGTGCACGCACACGCACGCGCACACACACACACACACACACACACACACACACGTTGGAATGTACACATAGTCGAGGGATGCTTTAATGTGCACTTGTATTGTGAAATGATTCTCAGCCAACCTAATTAACAGAGCCATCACTTCATGGCTAACTTTGTCTTGTGCATGCCGGATTTAACGGAAAATACTTTGCCTTCTCTTTTAGAAAAATCGTGTCCTACTCCCAGAGAAATAGAAAATGGTCAAGTCAGTGTAGCAACTGACATATTACTTGGTTCTCAAATCTTCTTCTCATGCGACCCAGGGTAAGTGAGTTTTATGCTGACACACTGTATTTAACAAATTAAAAATCGGATTAGGATTTCAGATAGAAACTACCGAAAGTCAGTGTTCACGGGCTTTTAACAACTCAGTCAACCCCGCTCCTCAAAGATCCTTTATTGTGACCTCTTACAGCAAAGCTAAAATTAGTGAAATGGGTCAAGAAGGGAAGCTTTTAACCACCAATTTCTCTAAAATCATAGATTTCGGTACATATGTGATTCCACATAAAATTTTAAATGTGACTAGCAAACCGAAAAGTTTGATTTGCTGATGATACTTGCAGAAGTAACCATCCTTCAAGTGTTAAATGTAAAACCAGTCTTTATGACATAAATGATGACATAAACAATGAATTTGCATTTGAGTTTTTCTGCACGTAAGCAAACTGTTATGAGATATTGTGGCCTAAATCCATTTCTTCCTAGTGTGAAAAATAGCATTCTAATCTAAGGTCTTGTACAGTTCTGTGGTAGGAAAGGAAACTTCCCTCATTCCATATATCAGTGTCTGAAATACATTTGGATTTTTTTTATGGTCCTGGAGATTGAACCAAGAACCTTTGAACTGAGCTATTTCTTCACCACTTTTTAAATTTTTCAGTACTTTTTGAGACAGTTTTCCTTAAGTTGCTGAGGCTGGGCTCAAACTTGTAACCATGCTGCCTTCATCTTCCTGAGTGCTGGGATTGCAGGCAGGTGCTACTATACCTGCTTCACCATTGGAAGCTTGATGTTCACTTTTCTCTTTTAATATTTGCAAATCGAAGTGCATTTTCTCTCTGCTTCTCCCTCTCTCCTCAGAGACAGTTGGGTCTTTACTGTAAAATCTGGGAAGTACCTTAGACACTTTACGTTCTGTTCCTCTGTGTTGATCTTTTAGATCTTTTAAATTTAACTTTTTTCCAGTTCCTTTAAATCTTGTATGGACTTTTAAGAACCGTTTTTTGTCCTCATTTACTGGTAAGGTAAATAATCTGGAGAATTTGAGAAGAGGCGGATATGGACGTGTGTAACGGAAATGTTTTCCTCTCCCTGTTGCTCCAGGTACCGATTACAAGGTGCAGCTTCTGCATTCTGTATGATTGTAGAAAATGGTGTTGATTGGAGTAATGCATTTGGAGTGTGCACAAGTAAGTCTGAACACTCGGGTTAGGGGGCTGAACGATCAATGATAAATTACCTTCTCGTTAAGAGTTATCCAGTGCATGTGAGCAGTACCTGCCCTGTGCCTTTCAGTGTGTCTTTCGGAATTCAAAGACCTTTCCTAAGTGATGTTTCTAAACTTATAAGCTGGGCCATTAAACAAACCATTGAGCTTCTCAGAGCATCAATATCTTTATCTATAGAAGGAGAATTAAGGGCGAGGGATTTAGCTCAGTGGTTCCATTGGCTGCCTTAGAAGTGCAAGGTCCCAAGTTCAATCCCCGGTATCAAAAAAAAAAAAAAAAAAAAATTAAAATCAAGCTTGGGTTTGTATGGTCTTCAGTCATTTACTATCTAACCACTCCTCCAAATGGGTGGGAAGTTAGGACATTTTCCCTTCACAGTTTCATGGAAGAAAACATTATGAACCAGCCTCCTTTTGTCTTAACTCCATACTCTAAGACAAGTGGCATTGGAAGGCATTTAACCCAGGCCTCTTGCCTCGTGCCCATTGTTTTTCTAAGACCCCAGTGTGTTGCTTACATATCTCTCTTTAGGGTCATAAGTATCTAGAAGTGTTTTAACTGTGATATATTTTATCTCTAGAGAAGTAAGGTTTTACGCTAAACAAGAAAGATAGTTTCTGAGAATCTTCTCAAAAGGAAGTTAGGTCACAGAAATAATGCCTTGGTGGATACGTGTCAAATGTATGCCTCTACTGGAGACTCGCTTCCCACAGATTGAGAGAAGAAAATGACACACAGCATTTTTATTTATTTGTTTTTCGGTGCTAGGGATCGAACCCAGGGCTGTGTGTGTGCTAGGCAAGTGCTCTAACCACGAGCCATGCCCTGGCCCACAATCTTTCAAAATGTAGCCTTTATCTCTTCTGTCTTTCTCTCTACACCCAGCTTATACTTCTGCAAACAACTTCTGAAAGTCCTGTAGTCAAAACTATTACTAAGCTCATTTTTTATGTTATTAGAAGCAGGAAGCAAGTAGATTTGGAGTAATTTATCAAACATTTGTTGACTAACACAGTTTGGCAGGCAGCATATGGAGTCAGCTGATACGAAGACAAGAGAAAGCCTTTGTGATCAAGTTTATTTCCTTACTGATTTTTTTTCAAAAATAATTTCAGTTGACTGCTGATATCTGCTAGCCTGAAGCCAGTTTCTTCCATGCAATGACTATCTGCTCAGACCCCTGTTTTCATTTCCCACATTTACCTCTTCTATCTGCTTTTCAAACCTGCCCCTGTGTTATTTCTAACATAGTTTGTTACCCCTCAGCTGGACAATTGCGCACAAGGCCTCCCCTACCATTTTTAGGGCCCAAGCTGGACTATAAATGGAAGCCCCCGACTTAAGCCATCCTCCCTCTTCCCACACCGCAGGAGTTTTTCTTCTCCATGTAAGAGTACAGCCTGGCCTCTCTACCCAAGTTGGGGCCACAGTGACCCTTTTCCGGATTAGCCATATGGGTAGAGGTGTGTGTACCAGCAGTAGAAACCACCTCGTGAATAGAGAGCAGGGGAGGGACTCCTGGAAGGAATGCTGGGAATCCTGGGGGCTGCTCCTGGTGATGTTCTAGAGTGGAGGGAGGGTATGGGACAGGCTGTCGTAGAGCAGGTCCCCTCAGCCCTACAGACACTCCAGCTGTGGGGGAGACATCCGCAGTGGGGCCAGGGCACAGCCTGAGGGGTCTGGCTGGCCGCGTCCCAGGGTGCTGCCGATGGCGGTGGCCTCCGTCTCCATTCTTGCTGTCCACTGGCGTTCTGTGGATAGGGTCACAACGCCATGTGTAGTGTCTCTCTCCTTCTTTCCTAAAGCGGTTAGTGTACTCCATCACTGAAACATCCACACCCCCGAGTAGGGCTCAGAGCTAACCGTTGTCTGCTTGCTTCTCCATGCTCACGTTTGCCCTCATATTTTGTGTGGTTCCCTCACCCACTTATGCTCTGCCACGTACTTCGCTCTTCTCTGGGCCTCAGCATTGTTCCTTATGTGGCTGCTGCTGCTGGACTGCCCGTGGCCCCTCTCTGCTGGGCTGCATCCCCCTCATTTAGGGCCTCACGGCCTGGCTGACACCCCCTCTCCTTCCACACTGCTTCTGTGGTAACCGCTCTGTTCTGCACTGAAGTATCCCTTCGGATCTCTCTCCCCACTAGATTTTAAACATGAGAACTGTACCTTGTTCAGTTATGAGTTTCTTTTTACCATCAAAATATATTAGGTGCTCAGAGAATGTGTGGACTGAACTAAAGAGTGATATATGTAGTCTCTGTACACTAACTTGCTATCAGAGCGTCTTGAGCTAGCTTTGACTAGCAGCCTAAAGTACTTTATACGAGTAGCTAGGTACCCTTAGTGTAGTTTAACTTCATGCATGCATGTGATTATATTGCTTTCCTGCCTATAAAAACCCATGGCTTCAGAGCGTTTAAAATCACAGAACTTTTTATTAGGAAAATTACCAGGAAAAGAACTTTTTTTTTAGAGAATATAACTAGAGAGGCTCTAGTTGTATTTGTTTTATAACTCTAGCTGCACAGTAAGATTTATCTTGAATAGAAGCTTCTGTGAATTAATATGTTTAAAATATTCCACCCTAGAAGGAGAAATGTAGTCCTGATACTTAAGATCTTTTGCTCTGTTCAAAAGTGATGCGCACTGATTTTTCAAGCCTACCCCGTGAATTCCTAGCTCCTTTCACTTGGCATCATTTTCTCCAGGCAAAGAGAAGTGTTCTCTGTTCCCTGGTCAATTTCAGAAGAAGGGTACAGCTAAGGTTTATGTTCAAGCATTTACTGTTTTCTAATAACAGTTTGATTATGACATACTCAAACATTGTAATTTTTGTTTTATGTGCATGTTCTAAGTCTTATTTCTGTTCATTGGCCTCTAAGTTAGCATTCATATCAAGCAGCATTTGCATTCAAAGCTCCAAATAGGCCACCCTTACTTAACAGGCATTTGTAAGCATCCTTTGTTGCTAATGCTACATTGAAAAAAAATGGTAGATTGTGATTTTTTAAAAAATCTTTAACTGGTTTTAATCCTATTTATTTGTAAACATATCTTACCAGTTTATTTATTTAAAGGATGTTGTAATTCTCTTTAAGAAATTTTGTGTCCACAACCACCACAAATTAAAAATGGACAAATTATAGACGAACGTGACACCTACGAATACAGACAGGTTGCAACATACGAGTGTGATAGAGGCTTCACCATCATTGGAGAAAACCAGATCACTTGTACTGTGACAGATGGCACAGGAGAATGGAGCGGCCCACCACCCGAATGCAAAGGTACACTCAGCTGGTGTTTGTGTTTTCTTTTTCCCTTTAGCTCTCTGTGTGAGCTTTAGCAACTCTGTGAATTCTCCGAGAAAAGAATGTAAAGTATGGTATATGTAGATATTTGCATTTTTCTGGTGCACGGTTTTCATCAAAGTCTGAGAGGCCTGTATGCATATATGCAAAAACAACATAAAATGTAGATAAACGTTTAGAGACATGTAAGACTTGTTAAACTGTTCGAACATGTTAGAGAGGAAAAAGAGGGAAAAAGGAAAAATTAAGAGGAAGAGCGAGAAGATGAGGACAGGAAAAGAGGGGGAGAAAGAAACAGTCAAAAAGATAACGACTGAAGTTTTTCTAAAACTGATGAAATTCATGGGACAGTAGATTCAGGACGTTCTCTCGACTCTACGCAGGACTGAAAAAAAAAAAAAAAAAAAGCAAAACACTTCAGGATACCTCAAAGCCAAATAGAGTTTGGAAACTCAAAGCAGTGATAAAAATACAAGAACAAAGGCAGCCTTCCCAGAAGCAGGACAACTGTTCACTTGACTTTTCAGCAGAAAATCTTAGCCATAAGACAATATGAAGAAACCTTTAAAATAATTAAGAAAATTACTGCTTGCCTAAAATTCTATATCCAGTGAGCTACCCTTCAAAAAAGAAGGTTAGAGATGTAGTCAGACAAAACTGAGGGAACTTGTCACCAGCAGACAGCCTTACAAAACAATAAAGGAAAATTTTCAAGTAGAATGAAAGTACTATAATCCTATTTTCATAAATGAAAGTGCAAGAAGAAACAGAACAAACATGCAGGGGCTAATGAATACTGACTACAAAACAGGAAAATGCAGTGTCTTCTGGGGTTTTAATTACATACAAAATAAAAATGTATAATAGCAATAAAGCAAGTGGCAGGAGGAGGTAAATTCAGTCTATAAATTACAATGTGTTAGCATTACTGAAGAAGTGGTAACAGTGATAATTTTGCATAATTGCCTTACAGTACAGTGATGGTGAATCTCTTAGAGACCCAGTGCCCCAACTGCAACCCCAAACCCACTTACTTATCAAAGCACTGCTCGGTTCTGGGTTGGTGCTTGGTGACTCAGCTTGCGTGCTGACAGAGAGGCTCTGTGTGCCCTGCCGCGGTACCTTGTGCCATGGGTTCGCTGCCACTGGTATCACCTCTAAGATTGCCGCAAAAGAACAGGTCAAGAATGTGTACACCTAAAGCTAACAAAAGAACGCTAATCTTTAATCCTGAAGAGAACCGAAGAGGCAGAGAAACAGAAAGAAACTTTACAGGTGGATTGAAAACTAATAAAATGGTTGATATACATTTATGGAGAACAGTGCCTAACTGAAGTGTAATTTAGCTAAGATTGTCAGGCTAGAGACATTTAAAAAGAAATCCTAATTGTTAACAATAGACACAATTGGATAAACTATGCAAACACTACTGAAAAAATTATGCCACTATATTAATGTCAGTGTTTATTTAAGATAGTTCATAACAAAGGAATGAGTTCAGGAAATCTGAAATTCAGAATCTAACATCTGTGTGCCCTTGAAAAAGTAGCCTCAGTTGATAGAGAGATTGGAAAGAAAGAAGTGGGCAAACTCACACAGTTGGAGAATCAATATAATTTTCCAATGAAAGAAAAAGCAGTGAAAAGTCATTAAAACCATAGACTTCATCAACACTTAAGCTGAAATTTACACAGGACAGTATTAAACCCCATAAATGACAGATAACCACATTTTTTCCAAGTGTTCATGGGACATTTATCAAATTTAACCCTGTGCTGAACTGCAAATCGCATTGCCTTTCAGAAGGCTGATGTTACTCAGAGCACGCTCTCTGAACGGGGGCGTTACACCCCGAGTCCATAACAAAATGGGCTGGAAAACAAATTCCCAGGAAGTGTAAACTCTCTGGTAGTAGGAAGCTCTGGAGCAAAAGTAAGCGCTAAGTTGATAAAGAAGGATGTTTACATAAGAGGGCCTTACCATGAAAACTCTTTATAAAAACTCCACTTACCCAGTGATAGATCTATCCCTGTGTTACCCAGGGGGCGTCCTCCCTGACTTGTCCCTCGCAGCACTCTGTGACGCAGGTCATGGACCCAGAAAGACATGGCACGTGCCGTCTGCACACCTGGAACATAGTCCATGTGCACTGGGGCTGGCCGGTGTCACCTGTGGCTTCAGGGACAGGCACTGTGTGGCATGGTGTAGCAAGTATTTCAATTTTTACATAGTGCCATGCAGTTTGCACATAGTCTCTTATTGTTTTACATTTTTAAAATTTTATCTTTATTAAGTTTATTGGTACATTTTAGGTGTACAATATTCTGACATTCATCACTGAGGATTTGTACCTTTACATGATGATCTTGGTTCTTATTTTTTCCCCACTTCCCTGCCCTCCCTTTAACCACTCCACCCCTCCCTATTTACAAAGCCTTCTTCCTTTTCTCATACTTTTTTGTTTCCCTTCTTTCCTTTCCCCTACCCCTCCCGCTTCCCCTTCCCTTTGCACCTTTTCTTCCTATTTCCCATTATCTATTATACATCTGGCTCCTTATTTACACTTTTCAGTTTCTCACACCAGAGAAACTATGTGGTATTTACACATCTGTGTCCTATTTATTTCACACAAGAGTGTGGCCTCAATGTGCATCCATTTAGTTATAAATGTCTCTAGTTTTTTGTTCTTTATGGCTGAGTAGTACTCCATTTTATTTAAAAGAAAAAACATTTTCTTTATCCAGTCTCCAGTTGATGGGCTGTTTCCAAGATTTAGCTGTTACAAACTGTGCTGCTATGCACATGGGTACACATATATCACTGTGGTATGAGATACGATGCTTTTAATTCTTATGGGAAGATACCCAGCAGAGGGATAACTGGGTCAAATGGAACCTCTGATCCTAGTTTTTTGAGGTATCTTCACAATGATTTCCACAGCTATTGCACCAGTCTACACTCCCACCAGCAGTGAAGCAGGGTTCCTTTTTGCCCGTAGCCTCACCAGCACTTGTTTTCAGTTGATTTCTTGATATCAGCCATTCTTTTGAAAGGGAAGCAATACTCACAAATTGATTACTAAAAGCAATATCAATCGTAATCCCCAAAGCAGAAAAAGACCCACCTGAAAAAGAGAACTGTCGGCCAATCTCACTAATGAACATAGAGGCAAAAATCCTCAATAAGATACTAGCAAACAGAATACAGAGGGTCATCAAGAAGATCAGACACCCTGACCAAGTGGGATTCATCCAGGGATGCAGGGATGGTTCAACATACACAAATCAATAAATGTAATGCACTATATTAATAGAGCTAAGGACAAAAAACATGATCACCTCAATAGATGCAGAAAAAGCATTAGACAAAATCCAACACACATTCATGATAAAAACCCTACAGAAAATTGGAATAGACAGTCTCTGTCTCAACCTGATAAAAGCCATCTATGAAAAACCAACAGCCAACATCATTCTAAATGGTCCAAAACTGAAATCCTTCACACTAAAATCAGGTACAAGACGAGGATGTCCACTGTCACCACTCCTATTCAATATAGTTTTGGAAACAGCCATAGCAATTAGGCAAGAGAAAGAAGTAAAAGGAATAAAAATAGGAAATGAAGAAGTTAAATTGTCATTATTTGCAAATGACATGTTTTTACTGTCATTTTGCAAACAAGAAAAGCAAAGTCTAGCGGGATTAAAGAATTTTCCACAGGCCCCAATCCCGAGGGAAGCCAGGCCTGGCTCTGTGCGCCTCCTGGGGAGCTTGAGGAGCAGCCTGGGGACAGCAGGCTTTGAACACTGGTCCTGGAGTTTTGGTTCTCAGAAAGAGTTTTTAGAAATCTCACTCAGAAATAGAGGAACTAGATGAGTGTATATAAAGTTGGGAACAAGAAGATGGAGTAATTTTTCCTCAGACCGTCATTACTTTTTTAAAAAGGAAAGAAGTTTCCTCACTAACTTAATGTCTGAAAAGCACTGGCAAGGGAGCTACTGTGCTTCCATCCAGTGATGGTGCCCCATTGTTCTTTGATCTTGGCTGGGTGAGGGAAGACAGTCCTGGAGAGAAAAGAAACAAAGATGTGTTACAGACTGCAAACTCTACTGACTCCAACTTTGCTTTCCTTTTTTCACATAGAAAAGAGGTTAAGAATCTCATTTTTATGTTGGGAGAAATCTACTTTAGGTGTGATTAATATCAAAGCAAAAATGAGGTAGCATTTGAAGTCTGTGGGAAATACATACTGAGACTTGGTTTCCTAAAAATTTTGTCTAAGTCTTTATGCGGAGACAAAGAGAATAGCCACAATTCAAGCAATGGCTAAGAAAACTTAACTTTGTTCAATAATGTTTAGCTCATTTTTTCTCTAACATTTTTCACCCACAGGGAAATCTCCACCTCCCTTTATCCCACCAATAGTTCAGAAGCCCACCACCACAACAGTACCAGATACAGAAGTCTCTCTACCACCTCAGAAAGCCAGTACAGTACTTCCAGGTACGGAAGACCCAGTAACTCCTCAGAAACCCACCACAATCAATGTTCCAGCAACAAGAGTCCGAGCAACACCTCAGAAATACACCACAGTCAATGTTCCAGCAACAGGAATCCAACCAACACCTCAGAAACACACCACTGTCAATGTTCCAGCAACAGGAATCCAACCAACACCTCAGAAACACACCACTGTCAATGTTCCAGCAACAGGAATCCAGCCAACACCTCAGAAACACACCACTGTCAATGTTCCAGCAACAGGAATCCAGCCAACACCTCAGAAACACACCACTGTCAATGTTCCAGCAACAGGAATCCAACCAACACCTCAGAAACACACCACTGTCAATGTTCCAGATGCAGAAGTCTCACCAACACCTCAGAAACACACCACAGTCAGTGGTCCAGATGCAGAAATCTCACCAACTCCTCAGAAAACCATCACAGTAAACATTTCAGATACAAAAGCCCCACTAACTGCTCAGAAACCTTCCACTGCAAATAGTTCAGCCACCAAGGTCCCAGCAGCAGCCCAGAGCTCGCCTATGCCAAGTGTTCTGTCTCCAGTGACCACACTGGCAGCTAATACTTCTGCTACACAGACCACACTGACAGCCCAGAAACACACCACAGCAGAGGCTTCTTTTACACAGACTCTTCCAGCAAGACAAAAGTTCACTACTAAGCGTGTCTCAGGTACACAAAGATTCACCTCTGCTCGTATTACAGCAACTTCCCGTCCGCCCATTTCCAGGATGAGTACACATCCTCCTACAACAGCATCTGAAGAGAAAGGATTGTCGTCAAGTGAGTTGACCCCGTCCGGATTTCCTGCAGGTGGATCTAACGTGCCTGATGGCGGGTAGCCTTGGCTCTCGGCGCTTTGAATGCTCTCCCTTTTCACAGTAATGCTTAGCTCCTAGTTACAGTCACTGAGAAATGTAAATAATTGATATGATAATTTTGAATTTGGTTATGATCTACTGAAAGGGACTTGGGTGGCTGATAATTTCTTGATAGTAGGAGTGGAGCAGCAACTAATTTACTATTTAAGTTGTTCAAACTCGGTGCCATCAAGTTACAGGTCAAAATTAGATGATGTTTTTGTTTTCATCCTTTATGTTTATGTTGTGGACTCTTTCAAATAGGTACAGGCACTGTGTATGTTAAGTAATGTATAATTGTGGAAATTCGTTAATTTCTTTTAGTTATGGAAATTTAAGTTACTTTTGAGCTTTCACGTAGTTTATTGATATATATGTATATGTACACACACACGCACACACACACACACACACATATATATATAGTACCTAGAAAATCATTGAAAATGTTTTAACTTTTTGTTTTATTCTCTCTCTTTTTTTTTTTTTAGGTTCAAAAAGTCTCATATATGGTAAGTTTGGCTCTCAGGCAGTTAAAAGAAATTGCCATTGGTGTGAGATTTATAGTCCATATGTCTGGAAGAGAATACTGTCTTTTAAGTGTCTCAGGAGAACTATCAGAATGCGGTGCTTATGGGTACCTGAGAGAAAACGGGTGAATGCGTTTTATCGGCATGTTTTTTGGACACCACTAGGTGCTCGATATGTTGCTTCGGCCTCCCGGCCGTGTTCTTGTTCCAAGGTAATTTTAGGACAACTTCAGATCACTTGGCCCGTCAGTCAAGTGGCGTTGAATGCCCATTGTCTCAGCACATCCTTCTAGGGACTGAAGAACCATGAACATGAAACAGTTTTAAAATCTTCAGGTGTTTTTTGTAAGCATGTACGACTTTGTGACCATTCCTAGGTCTCTGTCCTGTCCACAGGAGAGAGGGGCCTCCTTTGACTGCGTTCCGCTTCTCTGTCATTAGAAGCAGTGTTTCTTAAAAATTAATATTCTGTTCCTGAGGCCCAAAGCACCAACCTATGTTATAGTTCCTTCTAGTAATTCAATGGGTTTCTGTTTTGTCCATAAATGTTGTTTTATGTCATACATTAACAAGATTAATAATCTAAAGATGGTAAGAGAAATGTTTGTTGAGGAATACAGCTGAGTTGACATACTGATAAATCCAACAGAAAAATACAATTTTATAATGAAGTGCTTATTTTTAAATTGTGTACTTTATCAGTGAAGTCCCCTATTTTATGCATGCATGAACCAGCCAAAGGACATCGAGTCTGAAACAGACCTTCTTATTGTTACTACTGCTAATGTTCCTTATAAATGGTCATTTTATATTTTAAATGCTAAGAGATTTTTAAAGCTAAGAAATTTTGAAAGATTCCAACAATTGGAATTTACTGTTTATTCTATATTTTAAGTAGAAATAAATGTATTTTTACATTTAAAAATCTCATGATTTAGTGCTTTAATGTTCACAGAAATGAAAGAGTAACCGCTGAGCTTTTTCTCACCTGCCCAGTGCTGTTCGAAGAAGGTTTGAGATGCTTGTTTTTTCTGAAATGTGTGAAGTATTTGCCCACGGATCAGGTCATTGTCTCACCCTAGAGATTATAGTGCCAGGAAATGGCTTCATTGCTTATACTGAAGTGTGTGTGCAGGGTGCAGATGACGGAATGTCGCAAGTGCTTGCTTTTCTTTCCCATTTAATTTCACTAAGAGAAAGAGGCTGACAGAGCTTCCCAGAGTTTCCCACACCCTGTAAATGATGCTGGTATTTTGTACTTTAGAGGTCACAACTTCCATTGACTCTACCTGTGTTTCTCCATTTTTTTTTTTTAATTCTTGCTATCTTTCTGCCAAGGACCTGTCTAGACATTTTTTCCCAATCATCTCCCCATAAAGTTTTAATTCCAACTGTATATTATAAATCTCTTTCTCTCTCCCTCTCTCTCCATATAGATATATAACATAGAAAAAGTAAGGTTTGTTCACCTTCTTGGAATATCACCCCCTTTGAGAATACATGTTCTATACAGTTGTAGTTTTATTGGTTTTTTGTTTTAAAGTTTAGTCATATATAATCATAAGAAAATATGTGCTTTGCAGTCGGTCAGACCATGGTTTGAATATTTTTATGTAGCAGATATTCAGCCTGAGTGATCAAGGCTATTTCTGAGTCCCAGTTTTCTTACCCGGGATGGGGATCCAATTTTGATGTCAGGGTCAGTAGAGCTTTCTGTCCGAGCGGATGTGAGACCGCGTAGCCCAGCTAGTGTGGAGTACCCTGAATGCCAGCTTCAGTGCCATCGCCACACGCCATCGCTGCTGTTTCCCTGAGACGGACGCCTGACCATTTTCATCCCCTCTGTCCACACCACAGGACAAGAATAGTTTTTAAATCCAGTTAATGTTTGCATGCTTGCTATGTGGCAAATACTATCCTGAGATTTCTCTGTGTTATTTCATTGATTCTCAAAACAGTCCTGGGAAGTAGCGTGCATTTTCCATTTTTCAGTGGAGAAAACTGGTTCTCTGTGACTTGGCCAAGGTTACAGAGCATTGTAGGCAGTGAACTGGACTGGTACTAAGTACTTTAAAGGGCAGATTCTCACCCAGGGGACAGGACAAGACTGTAATTCAAGGTAAACAGTTTAGACAGCCTTCCCTATGACTGTTTATTTTCGCATGCATTGCTGAAATCCTGTACTGTGACATTCAGAAATTCTTTGTGGGTCCAATGAGAGAATGTGGCAGAAAAGGAGAATACACAGTGAAATACATAAAATATTTCTTCTGTAACCCTTATCAGAGGTGTCCTTGCCCTTTATAGAACTCCTTGGACGTGGCACGGATCACAGAGTCTGAATAGAACCGTGCTTGGAGAGTCCTGTATCTGAAGCATTTACTTAATGCATGAGATGCTGGTACAAGTGCGGCACTCTCGCCCCCCGTCCCGCTCCGTGTCCCCACGTGTGTCACACTGGTGCTGCACTATAGCACAGCCACATTACCCACCTGTTATCAGAAGTCTTACAGTCATTCGGGTTTTCTGTGATAGGGTTAGTCTTTTTGAATTTCCTTTATTTTTTATTTTATTCTTGGTACCAGGAATCGAACTTGGGACCTTGCTCTTGCAAGACAGGTTGCGGTGCCACTGAGCTACATCCCTGGCCGGCCCTTGAATTTTCTTTATTTGCAAAGATTGCTATGAAATGTGGAGACAGAATCCAGCGATCGTGACGGGACATGTGAAGTGTTCTGTGGTTGTGGCTCTGGGAATGTAATACTGGTTCTGTGCTGTAAATCTGAAAATGTAAGGTCCTTCAAGCACGGTCATCTCCTGTCTGCAGGTCTCCTGACGTGACCTCACGTGTTTACAGCCCTTTATCCTACGACTGTATCAAGTATGATTATGAGCAAGAACCAGACCTGTCCTCAACCCTCCCAGGGTTTCCCTAACACAGCATCTAGGAATAGACTTGTCATCCTGCCGCTCTGGATGAAGTTTTGTGTTTTCATTTAAATTCCAAATGAGAAATTAAAATGGCGGTAAGGAGGAAAACTCCAAACAGGGGAGTTGCGGTTTATTTTCTAGATGGTCTTTCTGAGCTAACGCTGCAGTCCCTGGAGATCAGTTAAGGATACTGACTAGGGAGAACACTGTAAAATACGCCTGTGTGGAAATAGCTAGTTTTTAAAAATTTTACACCCTTCTAGCAGTGTAGATGAGCAGCATTTGTATTTTGCTGCCTTGGAACCAGATACCCTCACTCGCTGCATTCGCTTCAGTTGTACTTTTAGTGTCATCTGTAATTTCCTCGAGTCCAGGGACATCGGAGGGTGAGGCGGGAGAGAAACAGGGAAACAGGATGCTGAGCGGAAAGTACACATGAGTGGTTTGGGGAAGAAAGACTGTGAAAGGCACGCTTAGAAAAGTGGTTCGCTGTTGGCTGACTAGTTGTTTGCTGCTGCTAAGCTCAGAAGAGCACTTTTTGATCTCAGAAGTAGATAGAGGTTCCCTAAATGAAGGGTCCTCTGCAGTGCGCAGAGTGAATGCAGTTTCCCTCCAGCCCCCGGCACCGTGCCTGTGAGGACCAGGGCCGTCTCCCCTCTGAACTGAGCCCCTGCCCCGCTGAGCCGATGAGTTAACCTTCCCCTTCCTGAGACTTCCTTCACCTACAAAATAAGCGTGAACTCCAATGTACCCTCTAGCCCTGTGGTTATTACATAACTCAGTCGTCATATTTAACCCTTAAAATGGAGCATGATTGTGTGGGATGCATATTTTAGAATCTGCTCGAGCGGTCAGAAATATGTATGTGAGCCCAGTGATATTTTCCAACATTTTATTTTCTTCCTGCAAAGAAAACAGGACCGATAATGCGCATGTGTCGTTGTCAAACTTGTAACATGAGGGAGCCTCACGCAGAACGTGCCCCTGGCTCCCGTTGTTTCTTTACGTGCTTTGTAATTACCATGTGTGTCGCTGCAAACTGTAGTATACGTGTGATTGCTCGTGTTTCTATTAACCATGCTGCCACATTTTGTCCCCTTCAAGGATTTGTCGCTGGTACTATAATAATTGGTAGTCTGTTTCTAGCCAAGGTTTTCTGGGACCGTGGAAAATCAGGGTGAGCAGATGTTCTGACGATTTTTAACACTTTACTGTTAGCTTTTTTCTCAGTGAAACTTGATGCTGTGAGGAGGTAAGTGCCTCGGCTCAGCCACGCCCTCGCCCTTGCCGACTCTTCCGTGTGCACCAGAATTACTGCTGGGGACCCCGTGGCAGTGGCAGCACTGTTCCTGCTCCTCCTCCTCCTCCCTCTTCCTCCCTTCACTACTGTGCTTCCTCCTCCCGCTTTGCATCCTCTCCCCTCACTTCCGCCTCTTCTGCTTTTTCCTCCTCCACCTTTTTCTTCTCAGTATAATCAAAGATAACCACATCTCCAGCAGAAAGTGACTCGAAAGCCAAAGTCTCACTTTCTTAATCAATTCTCTTTTCTCTGCTTATGATAAAGCCTGTGCATTATGCAGAAACAAATCTAGGAAAGACAAACCTCTCCCCTGTTGTTACACTGCCTGTAGTGTATTGTATTCATTCTGCATCGTATTCATTAATTGCTGGCAGTCTGGGCAGAAACAGCCTGGGGAGTAAGAGGGTAGGCTCTGGAGTCTGCCGCTCGGTTTGATTCTTGGCTCTGCTGTTTACAAGCTGTGTGTCTACAAGCAACTTAACAGATCTGGGCCTCATTTTTTTTCATTTGTGAAATGGGAGAATATGTCTACCTCCCAGGATCACAGGAAGCACCCAAAAAGTTGTCACCTGTTAAGACGTTAAAATGTTGCTTAGCACACAGTACACACTCAGTTGTTAAGACAGCAACAAGGAAGAAAGGCTCATTTGGAATATCCGGTCTCCGTGAGTCCATATATGAAATGTAAATATGGTGACTCTGTGTGCAGCCGACAAACTGGATGATCTCGGTGGGGCTGGTTGCATAGATTCAGCCATTCAGAAATCTTGCTGTAATGCCGGTGTGGTGGTGCATTCCTGTGACCCCAGCACTCGGGAGGCTGAGGCAGGAGGATCACTGTAAGTTCAAGACCAGCCTGGGCTACATAGTGAGTTCCAGGTCAGTCTCAACTACATAGTGAGACCCTGTCTCAACCCCCCCCAAAAAAAAATCTCGCTGTAGAATGCGCAGGAGCCCGAGATATCCCTACCCTGCCCTAACGCCTGTTCATTTTTTTCATTAATTAATAACTTCATTTTAATGTTATACTAGATTGCCTATTTTAATTTGTTGGTTCATGCAGCTTCTCTCCTTTTTACCCTCTATAACATTTTCCTTTCTCTTAAATTAACAGTAGTATATAAGCCTGTTATAAGTGCATAGAGATTCTTTCTTTCTTGTACCAGGGATTGAACTCAGAACTTTGTGCTTGTGAGGCAGGTGCGGTGCTACTGAGCTAAAGTTGTATAGAGATTCTTTAAATTGCTAAATGATTCAATCTTGATTTTTAAAAATTGGACCATCGTGTCCTGGGGTAGGCAATGGGGAAAGTTAATCATTTTCCTGGGTATTTGTTTAATAACAATGAAATGTTCTAGATGCAACAGCAAATGCAGGGAGATGCAACTGTTCTAGACTTTTTAAGGAGTGTGGTTTGAGCTGAGCAAAAGCTGAGTTATTCGTCTTGGGAAGTGAGTCAAGTTGGGAGAGAGGCCTCAGCAAAACTACTCTGAAAAAACATTAACCACCAATCCTTTGTAGTTTCTGGCCCCAGAGCTCTCTTTTTAAGGTTATGTGTTTATCGTATTTTAAGTTATTAATTAATAGAGCATTACTGACTTAGCCGTTTACCTCCGTGGGTCAGGAGGAAGCACATGACAAGTATGCCGGTGGCTTTTGGTTTTGTCACTATCTGCACACACCCTTTATAGAGGTGTGTTGCCATGACATTTTTAACAGGATGAAAATGCTGGGACAAAGAAGGTGCATTTGCTTTGAATTATATTTTAGGATGTTGCAGTAAACCTGCTCAGTTTCTCAAACAGAGGGAAATTCCTCCCAAACCCTAAGACAGAATCTGCTTTTATCCCATGCACTTAAAGAATAATCCACTTGCCTTATTTTGAAGTCTGAGCTGTCAGGGATAAGAGCTGACCTTATACCTGTACTGGTTACATACTTAATTAAAATTTAAACTTAGGACAGGGGATAAAGTTAATATTAAAATGATAATGTAGCCTCATCCTTTTGTGTTGTTTAAAAGTGCTGAGTTTGGGACCGGGGATGTAGCTCAGTGGTTCCGTTGCCTGCCTTGAAAGCACAAGGACCCGAGTTCAATCCCCGGTACCAAAAAAAACGAAGTATTGAGTTTGTATGACAGATTTTAGCATAGGGATTGGAGTGTAAACAAATGCTTCATTTTCTTATTTGATTGAAATTTAGATTATATATAATTCAATTAGTTTTTTTCCCTCTTTATGTCCAGCCATTATATGACACAAGAGAACAACAAAGCACCCATTGTTAATTATTCAAATGAGGCTGATGCCACCTCAGAAATAAGACCTCTTTCCAATAAAGTACAAAAGGTATATGGTTTAAGCAAAACCTCGGTATCTTTCGAAATAGCTATCAAGACAGCTGGCTTAGGGTCTCTGCAGACTCTCCGCGGGTAACAGAGTCCTGGTCTCTTTTATCGGCGGAGCTGTGCCTCTCTGTTCACTAACATCGAATCTCGTCACCCTGGGACATCCTCGGTCTTGACTTGGCAAGAGCGTGCCCATCATCTCGTCTGGTGTCCGCACTCCGTTCGTCATGGTGATTAGACCAGGGGGCTGTGGGTGTCACTGTGCAGAACGAGATGATTGGCCTCTCTTATATCTGTTTTTCCCTTTGCTGGCTGGACTTTAGACCACCCAGTGTTTAAGAAAGTGTAGTATGTGTTAAGACGTCTTTTTATGTCTCTGGGAAAATAATGTAAATGTATCTGAAACTAAGTGTCTTGCTATCTCGGTAAACCTTTCATCTATTCCATACATAATATTCAGAAGATTCCATTGATTTTTAACTTGACTGTATCTCAAATGAGTCTAATTTGGCTGTAATCCTTGCTATAGCTACAAGCTGTGCCTGCCGAAGATTGCCTGTAGTTTTTAACTTTCTAACTTAGCATTTGCTTTGCAGCCCAGACTAATGAACTTTTCAGTAATTCATAACATAGCAATTAAAAATTTAATGTTTGTCGTCAGTAAATAAAATCATTTTGATTCTACCTTTTCTTTTGCAGGACACACATGTATGAAATTGACTGTTTTGCTTATGATGCTGGTAACGGCTGCCTCGCTGGCGTAAGAGATCGTGCCCAAACTTGCAGAATATTCCTAGTTTGTTACAAGTCCCTGGTGAAACACAGATACAATAAATCCAGTAGTGCTCTCTGCTTTGCCTGGTACCCTTTATCTTTAGGGTGTGTTAGGAATGGCAACAAAACAAGAGGACCGGAGTCCATCTGGAATGAAATTCTCAGCGCATCAAAAGCCTTGCAGCTTCGGGAAGAAAGTAGAGACATTTGTCTATGCTTACAGTGGAAGCCTGAATTTCTTTCACTAGATGTGGAAGGTTATTTTTACTTATAAAAGGAAATAAGTTAAAAACATTACTTGGACAGCAGAAACAAAACATCCCTGTTTTCTAAGCAAAATTGCCAAACAGAGATGAACCACATTTCGAAGATAACACTTACACTGTACAGCACTTTTGCTTATTCCATTAAAATGAATCTTAATGGTTTTGGCAAAATGTTTTAAAAGAAAAACAGGCTAGTGATCCAGGGATGTTTCTTGGCTCAGTGGCAAGGGAGGAAGAGAAAGTGAAAGAGTACTTCTCCCTTTGTTACATAATACAGATACTGAACCAGGACTTGAGCTGCTTACAAGGTGGATAAGCTGAAATTTTGTCCTTAGGACAACCTGTTTTGTTTCCTCAGGAAAAGAGCCTTATGAAAGTTATCTCTGATTTAATGTCTTTAAAAGTATCCAGGAGCCAGGTGTAGTGTCACAGGGCTGTAATCGCACCACTTGGGAGGCTGAGGCAGGAAGATAGGCATGAATTCGAGGCCTGCCTGGTCTACGTAGTGAGACCCCCCAAAGTACCTAGAGGTAGAAAAATATTGACATAAGAAAAGATTCTATATTTCTGAAGTGAGATGTTCATAGCCAAATTGTAAATCTCTTGTAACATTAATTTATTTGTATTTATTTATGTTGGTGAATATTTTGCTTCAATAAGGTATGTAAATGAACATTTATTTTCCCTAAGTAGAAATAAAGAATGAATCACAGTTTTTGGCCTCATGTAGTACTTGAAATTTATTTTCTTTAATGTGAATATCTTATGTCTAAGTGAGAGCCCCTGCCTGTCTCCCATATGTGGTTCAGAATGCTGTCCCTCGCTTATCCTCACGTGGCCCATTTTCAGGGGCTTGGAAATGGTAGCACTTTGTACCTTCTCAAGCATGTGATACCCTCTCCTAGCAGTCTTAGTACTGTTACTGATGTACCTGCAGGCAATCATATTAATTTATAGGTTTTTAATATATTCTTACATGCTATTTTAGATGGTAGATTAGAACTAGAATATATGCATAAGTAGATCAACAGTGATTATTGCTTTGTCTCTTTTCTTCTTGGTAGTAAAGTACCTTCTGTTCATTTCGTGGCATTTCACTGTAAAAATGTCAGTATATATTTCTAACCATAAAGACGGTTTTTCTTTGTAACCACAATCATCACAGCCAACAAGATTAACAATTACTTTCGGGTTGTTTCTAATGTTAGGAAATTCTTTATTGTATTTGCTTTTCTCAGTACTGGGGACCGAACCCAGGGCATCGCACTTGCTAGACAAGCACGCCACCCCTGAGCTCAGCCCTTTTTATTTTTATTTTTGAAACAGAGTCATGCTAAATTGCTTAGATGGGCCTTGAACTTGCAACCCTCCTGCCTCCGCCTCCAGAGCAGCAGGATCATAGGCATTTTCTACCGTGCCGTTTCGGATATTCTCCGGTCCTGACTCACAAGTTCTGGGATTAGGAGTTGGTGAGTGTGGGCCCTGCTGTGCCTGTCATGCAGCAACCTGTTGCCTCGAACAGCAGCGTCACACTGATCCAGTGACTCAGGAAATACCACGGAGCCCGCGGTGTGCAGTTACCATATGCTGGGTGCGCTGGGGTCACCAGGAGAACTGTACCACTGTGTGTGAGTTCCGAAGAGCCACACACAAGAAAACGCGGACTTTTCACAGTACTTAGAGAGAATGTGGATTTAGCCACTGCACACACCAGTGCTTTCCATGGTGAGTGCTTGGAGGGAGGCCTCCCTGCACGGCGCGGAGAGGACGGACGGGAGGACGGGGTGGCACCATCCAGGCAGAAGGGCTTGGAGGAGGGTTAGCATGTGTTACATGCTCAGCATAGAAGTAAAAACGATAAACGGATATTTTATTCCTGTTGATCAAATTAAAAGAATAAATGGGAGTGTGTTTATAACAAAGAATTCCAGGTATTGGGAAATCCTGAACTTTGATGATGTAATGCTTTGAGGTTATTTTAGATTAAGGAAAAAGCTGAAAGGGTATTTAAGCCTTGGTTACCTTGGAGAAAATGATACAAGCATTAGGCCTGCGGGGCGGTGGGATGCTCTTGTCAGATCTGTACTATTCTGTACGCTGTTGGCGTGAGGCTCAGCAGTTTTGTTTTGTCTCAACAGGAGCCCTGTGAGGTTGTACTGAGACTGATCCTAATGAATAATACTCACCATGGAAATTGATAATGCTTAACCGCTATCACAACAGTTTGAATGTCCCCAGCAAATTCTCAAATCCAAAATTCTCCAAAATCCAAAACATTTGAGCATCCACACAGTGCTACCAGTGGAGGATGATACACCTGACCTAATATGAGACAGCCACACTAAAAATATGGTGTAAAATTACCCTTAGGTTAGTTTGTATGAAACACAGGTGAATTTAGAGTTGGGTCAAGTCCCCAGGATGCACCATTATATCGATTTTGTTGGCTGTCTCCCATGACATTTCTTCATGTTTTGCCACTGAGTTGCAATTTTTAAGGTAGATTTCTGTTTTTATTTCACTTGTTTATAGATTTCATTTGTGTTTTTAATTCTTCACCCCTTGCCTTGAGCAGAGCTGAATCTTGACGCTTTGGCGAGGTGACTTTTCAGAGATAAGTCCCACTCTGTGGGTGTGGATGGAGGGCGTGTGCCTGGCTTTATCATTTATCATAGCACATGGAAGACCAAGAAAGAAGACATGCGGGGGGTGGGGGTGAACTAGACCTGAAGCCTGGAACCAACCGTGGCCAAACTCCACCTGCATCCTGTTGATCTGAAATCTAAACTATAGAGAACATTTTTTAACAGCCACAGAGATTATGCAATTAACACAAGTACAGCCAAAACTGAGAAACTTACACTTAGAAGAGGATTTCTTGGCTGGGGATGCAGCTCAGTGTTGCCTCCACCTGCCTCCCAAGGGTAAGGTCTCGAGTTCGATCCCCAGTACAAAAAAAAAAAAGATTTCTTTGATAAAAAATCCCAAAATGTGTCTATTATAGGAAACTGAAAAACCGACAGTGAAGATTGTGCAGCTGTAAAGCACGTGAGTTGCCACTCTTGCCAGAACTTGAAATTTAGAAATGACCACGTGCAACTTGTGGCCCTGAGCAAGGAGTTACCGGCAAAAAGTTTAAAGTATAAGTGGCTGCTGTTTCTATATTTGAGAAGAGGCAGGAGACAAACTCAGAGTCTAACTGGCCAGTGTATACATACACAGAGTTGAAAATAAGAGTATAGAGAGCCCAGGGTGTTCACAACTTGCCGCAAGTGAGACTGGTTTTCATCTCAAACTGGAGACCGTGAAAGTGAGAAATGGGCGAAATCATTCTAAAGCACAGTGTTAGGACAAAGGCTCTCTGAGTGTGTTGTCATCGCCAAGACCTCGGGAGGATTAAGGCCGTGCCTCGCAGATGGCTTCAGAGAAGTCTGAGGGTGTGGACGCACGCGGTCCTGAGACACTCTGAGGGCACAAGATTTCTCAGGAAGTCGCAGAAGGTTTGTCACGACAGCATTGCCGTGTTCCAGTAGACCGATCTACAACTGAGGAAAATGGTGCCAGGACAAATTTCCTTGTTCTAAGTTCTCTCTCTCTCTGGCATGTTTAGCTCTGTTGGTCCAAGCATGTTTATCTGTGGAACATCGGGAAGGATTTAGGAATTCTTGGCTGAATTCCCAGATTCCTGCATTATCCTCTGTAATTCTCACTGTGCCCAACATTATGTGCTCCCGGCGACGTGGGTGTCACAGGCTCTTCCTAGCCGGCTTTCCTCCTCGGCCCCATTAGAAGTGGACTTTCATGGTTCTATTTTCCTTGGACCATGTGAGTCCACTTACTGTCCGTGACACTTTGGGTATGCAAAGTCTAGGATCTTAATTCCCTTGATGGTGCAGTTCCTTCAAAATCACCATAGCCTTCTGACCCATTTTCTTCCCGTGTATACCATGGGATAGTTGCCACAGCTACAAAAGTTTAATGAATTTCTCCAGCCTTAATTGTTTCTCTGCCCTGTAGTCACTGCGTCATTCTTTAACTCTTGCTTCTGAAGGCTTCTCCTTCGATGGAACATATTTCTTTGTGAGTTTTGGTTGACTGACTCTGATGCTCATTTCCCTTTATAAAACTATTTGCTGGGATTCCCCAAATTGTAGGATGAGAGTTCTTTCTTCTGGGGAGAACCCAGCTGTCCAACCTACAGGACTTGGCAGTGTCACTCGAGCTCCACTGTTTGAGCCCGGTGTGCAGCATGGGGTTTCCTGACCCACCGTGTCAGGGGAACTTGGGCTGTGACTTCACAATGACTGGGCAACAAAAATTTTATTTTCCTATTCCTTTTTTTATTTTGTATATTTTGGGTACCAGGGATTGAACTCAGGACCTTGCACAGTACTGCTGAGCTAAATTCTAGCCCCCTTTTTATTTTTAATGTTCCATTCAGTGTGACAGCTGCCTTCCCTACAGGACCCGGAAGCTGAGAAAATGCACATGTACTTATGGTTTGCTCTAGCCGGGAGGGGAGAGTTCTTTTCATTTCTAGTGCAGTTCCGGGCCCATCTCTGATAAACATCTCTTAGATAAGCCATGTTTCTGTCCTCCTTATCTCATGAAGTTGCAGACTCTTAGTATCAGTAAATGACCTGTGGAAATTTTATTTTTAATACTGATACCCCCCCTTCATTTTCTGGGCTCAGATTTTCTCCTTGAACTTTCTCTGGCAATTCCTATGGTGTGTTGTCACCACCAGTTGTTACAGTTTGGATATTAATTGTCGCCCAACAGGTCCATAACCCTAATGGCCTGGGCACTATCCTGCGGTGCTGGTGGGAGATGCTGGTCTCTTCGGGAGCAGTGGGTGGGGAAGGAAGTTACATCACCAAGGGCAAGTCCTCCAGGAAACATTCAGACCCTGGCTCCTTCTCATCTCTCTTTGCTTGATGGCCACCGTGAGCTGAGTTGTCCTTTACCATGTGCTCCCACCATGACATCCTGCCTTGCCACTGGCCCCAAAACAATGGAGTCAGCCAAATGCAGACTGAAACCTCAGAAACTCTGAGCCACAATAAATCTTTCTTCCTTTGGAATGGATTTTCTCGAGCATCCTGTCCCAGTGGTTGAAAGCTGACTAATAAAATGATTTTAAGATGTTCTTAAATCCAGTTATCATGGTTGCCTTTTAGAGGGTGATTAGTTCAAATGACTTACTAAAACATAGATCTCTACACCATGGGCATTCCTCATCCTATATACTGCTAACAAATTTTAAAAACTGACACTGAAGGAAAAGGAAATGGAATTATTTGGGAAACAAAGAATTTGACTGCACAGAGACAAGGCAGACTGGCACAGTGTCCAGGAAGGCAAATTCGGGAGCGGCGTTTCTAACAGATGATTCTCACAGGAGGTATTTTTTAGGCAGTTCATTCGTTGGGTGGAAAATCCTAGATGCAAGCCTGTTTGGTTGGTGAGCTAGGGCATCCTCCACTGAGAAGTTGCAGCCAGGAAAACTGGCCTCAGTTGTTTGCCCAAGTCCACAGAAACATTCTGTGGTTTACCCTTTTGCAAGTGCAAGTGCAATTCTATTGCAAACTCCACCTGAGAAAGTCCTAGACCAAATAACTTCATTTTCTTGCATAATTCCTATGAAAAAAGAAACATGAAGAAAGAAAAAGGAAAGCATGAGGCAGAATAATACAATTCACATAAAATGAAACTATTAAGCCAAAGGGGAAAAAAACCCAAGCAGTTCGTGAATACTTAATGGGTATAAAATTCTTCAAAGTTAGACTCAAAATATAAGGACTTAGTAATAATGAGGAACACAAATAAATGATCTTAAGAAAATAGAAATAAGAGGTGATGATGAATTCTTCAACTTTACCTAACATGTTTATTTCCTTATTGAAAGACAAAAGACTCAAAATATTTGATAATATTAACTGGCACATAATTTGAAATGAAGAGTATTTAGTGTGTGTGTTTGTGTGTGTGTTCACACGTGTGTATTTTATACATTCTAAATTTTTTTCCTAGGCAAAAATTAAAGAGAGTTCAGGTTGGTTTGGGGGCATCAAAATAATTAGAGACCTCAGTTCATTTTGTCTTACTTCTCTAAACAGCATAATTTGAGGAAGTCTGCAGTAGAGGCGAAGTAAAAGGATTTCTCAAGAGTTTCATTAGAGAAAGGCAGAGAAAAAGAGGAGGCACTAGGAGAAGATATGTTCTAACAATCCAGCCTAGTTTGTGTCAGGAAATTGTCTTTTTCAATGGGAAGAGAATCAAGAGATGGAGGGAGGGGGAGAGAAGGGGGAAAAGGGATTGAAAAGAGGAATTAAGATGTGTTCTGTATGTGTGCTAAGTCCACACAAGGAATCTCAACATCAGGTACTGCAGAATGGACTGGTCACAGAACTGAAAAATCATATGTGCTGTTAATCATGGGTGGTAGGAAACATACAACTAATCTCGGAAAGAACAAATGGGTGAACCTGCACAGAAGAAATGTTTTCAAAAGAAGAAGCAATGATTGCAAACATCAAAGATAACAAGGTACAGGCAACAAATAAAATATGAAAAGATTATGATCTTCCATTAAAGCTTAAAGACTAGGGGTTAAGTTTTGGTAGGGAAAGGCTGTCTACAAGAGACATTGCACATCAGTAAAGAAAGATGGAAAGTGAAGGATATACAAGATCAAGTTAATGCCAATTATAAATGGCAAAATGTATGAGAATATGTGATACAAATGTGTAAACATCAAACTACATAGCAACTAGCCAAATACATAGAGATTGGAAATTTGATAAACCTCATAAAATATGATTCTGGCTAAATATTTCAATGCTTCTCAGCCTGAATCAGACAGAATGTACCTGTATCACTTATGCTGACAGCACATGTGTTTTGTTTTCCTGACATTTTTGTAGGACATACTTGACATCTCGCTGATCTTGCTGTTTTGTCAGGAGCTTCCTACTTTATTGTGAAATGTGCACTTAGCAGAAACATAAAGTATAAATAAAATAAAGTATTAAATAATATGTATTGTGTGTTTAGAATAGACACCAACATTTTCACAACAGCTCTTTACTTGCTTACAAAACCTAAAAGATTACATCAGAAACAATACCCATGTGAACTTCAATGTAAATTCAAATAAAAGTCTACCACAGAAATAATCCACTTCGACAGTCACACCCAACGGCAGTCTTTGCACATGAAAATTGCATGTTCCATACACAAGTATCACCTTCACTGATAGCATGTATGTTTTGTTTTCCTGTCCTTCCCTGTAGGGTGCAGTTGACATTTCCTTGGTTTTTCCCATTGTCATAGCAGGTCTTTTCGATGCTGCTCTTGCCTATTCACCTGTTAGCTCACCAGTGTGCTCCACAAATTTTTTGTGTAGTTCCCTGGGCAGAAACATTTTGTTTTTCCTTTGCTATAAATAATCTCTTATGAGATTACCCAGTCTTGGTCCTCTAAGAAACTTTCTCTGGTATTTTGCCCTTATTATTATTTGTTTTTGTAAACTATCAAACTGTTTATTTCATACATGTTTAAGATCAAGTAAAACACAAGCATTGGCCAACACTTTGTGTTTCAAGGGACATCATAGTTGCCACATAACTTGTGAATAACATCTATTCTGCCTTTGGTTTTGTTATAGAAAGTTACTATCTCAGGCTTCCATTATATCAAGGTTTCCCTATCAATATTTCTACCATGGTGAACTGTTGACAGTAGCAGTACCAGTTTGTTTCTCTTTGCCATATATGAGGCCAATGTTATATCTTTCTGAAATCCAAAGATTGTACTGCACAATTTTTGTTTTGAAATTGCAACATTTCATTGGAATTTCCACTTTGTTCCTGCATACAATTCCTACAGTGGCCAACTTGTGTTCTGTTAGCAAATATAACATCAATTGGAAACTGGTTAACCAATTGTTAAATGTTACATTCTGATTAGTTTAGGAGATGGGAGCAACAAAGCTGTTCACAACATTGCTTGGTTTATTACTACATGAAAAAGGACCTGGTGGCTGAGTTCCAGGATAAATTTCTAAATTGAAAGTACAATAAGTTGTCATATTTACAAGTGCATAAATTATTATGCTATATTTTGAAGTGGGTTTTTTTTTTTTTTTGGCCATATACTGCCTGAAGCTACAGTGACCATGAAATGCCAGTAGATGTTTATCAATAGTCATGTATTTAGATGGTGGAAACTATTTGACAATTACCCACAAATCTCTCAAACAATGAGTGGATAGCAGCCAGATTATCAGTTCTTTTTCTTTCTTGGCAGATGATTTTGTCATCATACCTCAGGCAATTCTGAAGGGAACCAAATCTCCTCAGTCACTGTTATTCTACGAACCTCAAGCTGGAACCCATCAGTTTTCCATAAGTCTTTTACATTCCTGCAATTACCATGAGAAAGCCCTGCTAAGTACAGCAGGCTTACGAATGCTTTCAGTTCAGCTAGTGAGGGGTTATAATAAATATATTTTGTTATCAGAAATACATTATTTCATCATTTATGTAGCATTTCATCTGTTAAAAACAATTTCCAACATTAAATGGCAGTGCTTCAATTCTGTCCAATAGGCTTCACCCCTGCCAAGATCCTCACTATATTTTCAGATCTATTTCTAACATTAGATCATTCCAGTTAGTTGCATGACCATATTGTACCTTTTTGATTAGTCAAATGTGTACTCACATTGCTATTTTCTTCATCATCTGAATCAAGGAGGTCTGCATTCTTTGTGTTTGTAATGGTCAATTCTTGCTCCATTTCACTGGAACTTTGGCTCACATGTCTAATGTCAAAATTATTATCATCTGCATTGTCCATGCAGGTGTCATCTGATGTTTCACTTTCAGCCTTCTCCAAAACTTGCAAATTGGATTTTTCATGTGCCATTGTACTCAATTGGGCTACTTCTACCAGAAAAATCAAAAGAAAAAATATTTTTAACAAATCCTAAGTGTACAGAAATTTAGCAGTGATCATTTTATGGGTAAAACTCACCTGTTACTGCTTTGGAGCTCTTGTATACACCTTGCTGTTTGTCTGCCAATGCACAGATGGGTTTCTACTTTCTTCAGGTGCAGCTACTGTGAGTCACACCCACATTTCATTATGGTAAAATATGTGTTTACATAACAGAAGAGTGGTGTGGGCATATTTTATCCCCTGTGATGCTCAGGTAAACATACATGAAAACTGTTGGAGTATTATGTGGGGGAAAAATCCCAGTTTGACACTTCTGCCTATGTGTACATAGCTTGATGTTCATTGTACCAAGTGGGTAAACACAAAGGTTGTTTCCTGTCTCCCTAGGCACAGCTACCGAGAT